TGCTTTGTTCAGATGCAGCTTTGCAAACCTCAGCTGTTCTTTCTGTGTCTCAGGTTTAGTTTTTTAATTGAACCATTCACAGTATTTTATTGTTCTCTAATCACAGGCATGAGGACGCTCCCTTTGTGCGTCGTACTTAACCCTGTCTACAGAGCTTCCTGGATTTTCCCCCGTGTGATTCCCGTGTGGCAGTGTCGGAGTGTGAGCCTGTGATCGTGTGTGTGGATGATCTGAAGAACGCGTGCTTTCCCCCTGGACTTCCCTGGAGACCCCTTCTTCCCTCACTCAGCTGTATATAGCACCCCCCGCACCTTCTTGTATATACACCTGGTGAATTGTAAATAAATCCTTCTTGTGAGCATCAGAACCGGAGTCCTTCGCTTGAGTCCTCCTCCAAACCGTAACATAAGCGAAACAAAGCAGTCAGATAAATCAAACTTTATTCATTCTTCTTGCTTCCTCCACTTCTGTACCATTGATTCATGAATGCTGTATTCTATCACAGCTGCTCTATTCACATGTTGTTGCAGTATATTAATGACTAACCTCGTATTGTGGATGGATTATCTCAGTTGTTCTCCTGACTGAAGTTTGGCCCGTGTATAGCATCCTGCCATGTGACTGCATTTGTCTCTAACCATCAGGAACCCTCACGTTAACCTTTATCGAGTGTAAAAAAGTTAGCGTTCATCCTCCAGCTTCACTGTTTATGTTATGCTAGCATAGCTGTGTTGCTAGCAATCACATAGCACATCATTATATATCAGCTAGCCCAACTTCAGTAACCCTACAAACGTCACTGCTGTTTAGTTTTCTGTCTTCATTCATGTTGGAAGTGACAGCAGAGCTGTATGTTTTAATTTATTTCAGAAATCTCTCAGTCAGAACATGCTACATCATCTTTAGGTAACTAGCAAAACTAGCGAGCTAACTTCCGCTAGCTTCCTGCTAACTTCTAACTCCGTTAAATGTAATAATTTCTGTTTTCATGGATGCCTGGATGTTAAACTTCATAGTTACACCTGGTAAAGCAGCAACGCTGATCATTTTATTAAAGATGGAAGAATTTAGAC